ACGAATCATCATATCATTTAAAATTCATATATGATTTTCGGTTTGTATCAGGATAAAAATCATGTCACCAGTATTACAGTCGTCGGTTAAACGACGCATGATCACCATATCGAGCAAAATGCCATAAAAATTTCAAATGCCAATCGAGCTCGATCGACATACGTACAAGGTGTTACAATTATCCCAATTATTTAGCAAATAAATTATTCCTCATCTCACCTACACCATTTCCTAATCTTTGCTCGCTATGATTATTCTATCCATCTGTACGACGTGTTCTAGACAATTTTTTCACCGGGTACGTATGCCGATGGCCATTTGAACGCGCAAGTCTCATACAAGTCATTAGGATATGCGTTCTACGTGGGCTACGTACTTGTTTGTACTCCGACAGGAATAGTGTGGCGGCGGTGGATAAAACTGCCACCCTGTTATACCTCGGTCTCCCGAATGAGTTCCGCTGGCTAACAAATCATAAATTATAATAATCAGTCCATTTTCCACCCTTTCACCCGGATCTCTTTATTGATTCATCCGTAGAATCCACCAATACGCTTTTCGCTTTGAAAATTCCACGCTGAATTGCTGATTAATCAACTTATTTCATTATCAACATATCCTCCGGATATTTGGATCTTGTCAATGAGTTGAGTTGCTTGGGCCGTGCACCTTTAGATATTCGGAAACGATAGGTTTTCTGATCGACTGAGACAACTCCAATTTTTCTCCATGCTGCTTGTGAGATTATTGGATACTCTCTCCTTCTTCGTCGCTGTCGGCATTTTAAATTGTGAAAAAAAATATGATCGAGCAGACTGAGAGAGAATTAACGTGAACACAGGACTTTTGGAGAGGCTACCCAATTATCTTACTCGTAGATAACATGTCATCTTTCTTTTAATTATTATTGAAAACTGTTCTCTCTCTGGAGATTTGCAATTTAGTACAAAATAAAATCAACAATTCCGATCAAAATCATGTGCCCATTTGATACAATGAAAAAATGAAAAAAATATTTAAAAAATAGGTAAAAATGAGCAACTGTGAATGAAAAATTATTTTAAAACAATGGCTGATCACCATTGCAATCTCAGTCTTGAATTATATCACGCAATTTTTTAGTATGACTCATTTCCTTGTAAATAGCACACAGTGTTATAGCACACGCACACTTACACACACATGTACGTATGAGTGCACGTGAAACAAACATCACGATCATATAAAAATAATTGGCTTTTTTGTCGAAATTTACAATTTTTGTTAGCCGTGCTCATACATACGTACATCGAATGTCGATAAATAAATATCGTACAGCTCATTGATTTTCTTATAATAAGTTATTAATATCACAGCAACACCAAATTGCGTTAACGATATACATGGGATAAGTAATGCTAAAGGCGTAAAAATCCATAAACTTAATAGTGTTTTTACATCAGAAAGCAAACATATAGTTCGGAAATGAAAAACGTATTATTAATTGGTATTATTGCTGATACCAGCGAAACACAGGAATATACGTAATAAGGCGTACTTTGTGCGAGGGACTTTATATTGAAATAAGTCCCCGCATGCGCTTTTACGTCCATGCGGCATCGCTGAATGAAAAATATATAATTTATAAATCATCTTCGATTGGATAATGATAAACACGGAAATTAAAAAAATAAAAAATGCAATAATTTGCCGGTAAAGCACAGAATTTAGCAGCCAAGTGAAATATTTCTGGTTGGCAAAGGAACAATAATTAAACGAAATATAATCCAATCATCAACGTTCTCCGTCGAGATTTGAAAAGAATTTGGCAATTCAATAATTCTGAATAAATAATGATATATTTAATTCTTTAAATGCCTGTTCAATTGAATAATGAAAACCCCGAACGTGTAATCCGACAGCGGACGTTGATTAAATTCAATCGAAATTAATGAAACGAAAAATTTGAATTACCGGCAATAAATTGAGTTGTATAAATCCGGGCCAATCAAATTCAATAATAAATTATATTGAATAAATTAATTGAGGCAGAATGTCGATTAAATGTACAGAATAAATATAAAATCAAACGAAGGAAAACGATATTATGTAAAACGGTCAAACAATGCGGAGAGAGGTTTTGAGGGACTAACCATATAGTAATCCTGAGAGGGGGATCTGCTTGTCACTGATACATTCTGCACCAGAGTTCTATTGCTCGTCTGAAAGTAGGTTACACATTCAGTTTTATAAGATTACCTTAAGTTTATTCGTTAATAGAAGTGTTTTCCCTTAAAATGATCATTTTAAATTAAAAAAAAAAATCATTGATTTTCATATTTTGCGTATTTTGTAAGAATAAAGTATGTATTAGTCGTAGCCTTATTTTTTCAGTGGTAAATATCTCCAACATTGTACACGACATTTGGTCGATTCAATAGAACAGGAAATAGAAACTGAAGAAGATAGTGGCGGTGTAGAGTTTGATAGAATGAGTGAAAATAGTACTCATCAACGTGAATTGGATAAACTTTTGCCATGATATTGGTTATGAAGTGTTATGCCTCTGATGCATAAGTTGACAGATCAGTCGATAAAATCCCGTCCAATAACTCATCAAAAGAGCTCAAAGAAAAATAAGCAATTTTCTTTTATCAACAGTCAAATAAATACAAACATCACTCCTCAACTTCAACACCATTGGCAAAAGCAGAAATCACGTAAAATATTATTACGAACAGATACTTAGCGATATCTTAGAGGCAAGAATAAGTAAACTTGAAGTCACGCCAAAAATAATATTTATCTGTTAGTTTTTGCTGCCATTGAAGCGCCAACCGGATCGACGGCTTTCATTGCGCGTTGTTGATTATTTCATTACATGCTGCTTGAGTCTGCAATCATCTCGAGATTGCAATCTCCTGACGTTTCTTTAGTACATATCCTTGACTTTGTTACAATATTATACAAAATATTCATTATTTCAACCCTCGGTTATAATTCTTACTCAATGTTTTCATGGCTCGCTTCCGAGGAACAAGTTCTACAGCAATTTCATATTTTTCCTTCCCAATCTCTACGACATACAATTGTCGTGATTCGAACGCCCAGTAAACGGAAAAACGTAAAATTGGTTCCATTATTGGGAATTGGAAACAAAGATAAAGCAGTGTGTTGCTTTCTTTTTCCTACTAGGGCACGTGTTTGTGTGTATTGAACATAGAATGGAACAACGGTATTGGTGTGAAAGTGATAAAGATAGAGTAAGAAACATAGAAATGCCAAGACGTACAGGGAATATAAAAGACAGCGGAGAAAATAGGAAAACAGGAAGGTACACAATAAGGATAATCAATGGATTTTATGCAAATAGTTTTTCCCTAAGACAAAAAAAAAAGTGGAAATGAAATACGATGGGGACAGAGGGATGCAATTTTCGTTGCACCGTAGACACTCCTGTTGATTGCTACGATAAGCATTAAATGAGTACTCCATTGATTCTCTGGGTACAATTGTTGAACCGAGGACTGCGTGGACCATTGTAATTGAGACCTGATTGCATACAACACGGGAATAATCATCCAATTCCCTCATTTTTTTTTTTTTACTACCGTTGATCCTCAGAATACGACGGCGATTCGATATTCATAATCCTCTGAACATCATTTTTATATTGCATCTTCAATGTTCTCTCTACAGGGCGATTCAACCAGGCTCAAGCACTATCAACCGAACTCTATTGCGCTACGTAATATTTACACGATGAAACATTAGTAATCCCCAGCAGTACGACCACTGCTCCTCCTCGTTTTGTCATCGAGCATTCTAATACTCGAATTTCCGGTAGCAAAATTTGTCAAGTTAAAATTAACAGATTGGAGTTTTTAAAAATTAAATAAAACGAGGAATTAAACAACTTCGGTGAAAGGGTCTTGGATAATAATGGAAATTCAGGGGTGTTGGGTAGAATAGAGATTGTTTGGGTATGTGGGTTTGCGTCATCGGTTCGCAAAAGGATTCGTGAGTGATCGGTGGGCCATGATGGCAATCAGGTGGCAGGGAGGGCTAGGGAGAGTTGAATAGTCTCGTGTTGTTTCTCAGTGAAAGGGCTTGGGGAGTAGGTGAACCTATGTATCGACAACGCAATTATCGGTTATCGGAAACAAACTAATCACCCGGATTCGTGACAAACCTGAGCTCGCCGCAAGGATCATCTCCCTTCTATTACGGAGTCTTTACTTTTCTTGGCAACTTGAGTAAATGAAAGAACGAAAAAATTATAATGGATAGGATTTTTGTGTTTTTTTTTTCCTTTTTGGTTTTTGGGGTAATGAATGCTGAAAGGCTCTCGATTGTTTGCAATAGTGCGTAACGACACTAATCACATAATGGCTATCTCAAAATTACGTGGGTACGTGCCACTGACCTAGACAACGTAGTTTACGAACGCAATCACGGCAGTTGGTAATTACAGGATTTTCCGAAGTTGTTAACTCAATGAAATGGTGTGGGATTTAAAGTGGAGGTGTAATCGAGTTTGGGCCGTAAAAACGGGTGTGATGTCAATCACCAGAGGATTCTTCGATGTAACCCATCAGAATGATGAACTGATGATTAATTGATACATTAAACAGGCCTAAATTCAATTCCTCCTCCACTTGGCAAAAACGAAAGACGAAAATAAAAAAATAAAATAAAAAGGAAGAGCAAATTGTGGTCAACTAGTGGCACAGATAAACGCTATTGTTTTTTTTTTTTTTTTTCATAGGGAACGCGCAATCCCGATTCATCTAGAAAAAAAATGAATGGGATGGCGGACTATTTGACCTGGCCTTGAATGATTCTCATGTTATTTATCCTTCTGCGATATAAAATTAATCCTGCTACTGGTCTCTCTTGTTATTCCTATTTAATTTTTCCTCTAAGCTCCATATTGAACTCATAGTGTAAATACCTTTGTGAGAGGATCTGAGAATGTTGACTTTGAGTGATGATTATGAGAGTGACATGAGGATAGTTACCTGAGTCTGCAGTCGTGTTAGACCACGGATCCATAGAATTTGTCCTGCGCGGGGCTTTTTATCCGAGTCTGGGTCGTATTTCTCGTCTCCTAGATGAATAGCATGGATATCATCTGGCTGGCCACGACCCCATCTGTTTTTGAAAAACATTAAACCAGTTCTTCATAACTCGGTCCCTGTTTTAAAGGCAAAACTTTTCTTTTTTTTTTTGTTTCAATTCTTTCTTTTCTCAATATTTGTTCGTTTTATTTTTTTGCATTTTCGTCGGCTCTCCTCGATGCACTGCACTCATTTTTCCGTTTCCCCCTTCAGTCCCCCTCACTGTCAGGCGAATGCCATTATTAGATTACACTCTTATGTGGGAGTGACTGGAGAGTTATTATTTGATCGAATTTACCAAGCGAAAGTTGGAGAAAGATAGAAAAACCGATAGGTAATGCCGGCCAAGGGGGCGGGGGAAATAAAAGATTTAGGTACAGATAAGAATAAAATAGGTTAGTATATTCGGAGAGAAAGAGGTTTCACTGAATTGAGAGAATATGAGAAATTTATAAGTTCGAATACAAAGCGAGTAAAGTAGAGAAGAAAATTTCATTTTAGAAAGAAAAGACCATACTGGACAAATATGTATTGCGCTGAAAAATATGAATATATGCTATGAAAATTACGATGCTTGATAAATGATTATGACATTAGTACAAATGAATATCATGAAGATTATTACACATCAATTCATATAAAAGCTAATTCGAATAAATGATACACGATGTGAATGATTATGAAAGACGTAACTATTGTGATGGTTTACGTTGCTGAATGATGGCATTGTATGTTGATGTGTCAATCGTGTGTATTATTATGTTAATTTTAATAATGCGATGCAATTATATTGATAAATTAATAAGAATTAATCATTAAATGCCAATATTTATATAACATGCGTTTAATCATAAATTTTCATCTATAAACTCTGCATTGAATGTGTTAAAAGATGACGAGGTAGTAAATACGTGGGCGGACCATGAACTCGATGAGTTTCACGGCTAATTTAAAATCTAATAATTGTTTCAGCGTTAACTAGTTCGTCTCGCACCTCGCATACTAATTTGTCTTGATTATTGAGGAGATAAAAAAGGGACAGGGGGAGGGGTTAGTAATTCGCACAACCGGAATTCTGAGAACGGCCCACGAGCTAGAGGGATGGCGTTTTATTCCTGCGGAAATGGAAGCAGCATTAGTGACCGGGGTTCCGTATTATTCTGATGACCTTTGGAAAATCTCGGATATTGGTCTCTTGATTAGGTTTCCGCGTTAGTACTGGAAGTCAAGCCGCAAATCGCTATTTCCACCATTCAAATTATTTTCTTAAACGTTTTACGAAAAGCTTTCCCGGGCTGTCTCTTGCCATATTGACAAGTGGAGGGATAAATTGCGGTATATGTTAGTGAGAAGTGGATCATATGAGGAGAAATAGGCGCACGTATTGTTGAGATATGGAAGCGTGAGGAAATGAGATTTTGCATCGAAGGATTTGTAATTCTCAAGGTAAGACAGACGGTTTTCATCGGTCGTAGCTGGCTTAGTGGAGAGTGGGATTTATAAGGGATAAACACTGGAACAATACTCGTTGAAAATGAATTCTTTGAAATTGAAAGGATACAGACACAACTCGGAGGAATACGATTCGTGTAACGAATTAATCATTTCATGAGAGATCAATCTTTCGTTGGAAGGTATTAGGGTTGTTTTTACACAAGAGAGGTGGGGGAAAAAAAAGTGTCGGGAAGAATAATGGTTATAGGATAAAAAAAAAAGATAAACGTGGGCAAAAAGGCACAAAGAGATTGAGGCTGATTCTTCATCTTTGAATCGATGACTAAAGATTCAGCTGGTCGTTGTTATATATTCAACGAATGCGATACACCGTTAGTACCTCAAAACATTAGGTTTTCACTAGAGAAAGCACAAACTACCGTTTCCACATTACAACAATACGAATGGCATTCTATTTACGTTTACATAATTTTGTTGTCTCATACTATTGTTTTTTCATAATTTTTTTATCTGGATTTATGTGTTATTTATATTTTATTTCGAATAAGCATTCGTCTCAGAATCGCAACACTGATATTGCATCGGTATCTCATACGAAAATACAAACAAGTACGTAGATATAGATTTATTTGTTCAGTCCTGTCGTTTTTTATATCTGACTTTTATTACTTTTTCCATATTTTCTTTTGATTAAAACGGTCGTATACATGCAACATCCAGTGTTAACCAAAACGTTCAGGCACCAGAGATAGGTATAGGGAATGAATGGAATTGTTTCGATTAATGGCTCGACTATTTTGCCCTGGAAATTGACTAAATGTGAGCTGAATGAGATAAAACCCATCAAGTGACGACTTTGGAGAGAAAGAAATCAATGAATTATCTTCAGGGATAAAATAGCCGTGCTGAAATAGGTATTTGCACTGAACGTGATGTGGAAGGGATTCGTGAGAACAGATCATGAGAAGGCAGCCCTAAATTGCCACTACTCCTCCTGCATTAATGTTATAATCGGTTAGTGTGGATGTCTCCTCGTTTTTTATAACTGTTCAACAGATTAATTCTAGCATGCAGAGGCCGTTCTACCACGTACTAAAGAGGGGGAATACGAAAGCTATGAGTGTCTATTCAATCTTGGCTTGACATTAACGAACAATCAATGAAAATATATAAAATAATGTATATACCGACTCTAACACTGTGCTGACTGCCAATGGCAACTACTTTATCAACGAACAAATTTATATCATCATTTTTTTTTCATTTCATAGTCATGTAAAGTTTATGTACATAGGGAGGTACATATTATGAATATTCATTAGATCTCTTGTATGAGCGTTGATGTTTCAAGTGCGATCCACTGAACAATAATAAACACTCCTACAAGTTTCTCTCGAACAATCATAAAATGAAATTTTTAACATAAAAATTTTAACAGAAAAATAAAATATCAACGTTCATCATATAATAAAATATACATCGAACGATAAATGTAATGAAATATTGGAAGTATTTATTGTCACACAAATTTCGTTGTTGCATGACAATCTGTAATTGGGAGTCAACAGCTAATGTATCAAACGTGTAATGAAAAAAAAAAATCACTTACGAGAATATCTTGGGAAGTTTGCGTGTAGGAACGGTCGTGACTAGTTGGCCCCACAGTAGCGTACCAAAACCGAAGAACAGACACCACATCCACTGATCTATATCGAGAGCCTTTGTGCTAAATGCCATCTTACCGTATTGAATGATAACAATCTAATGTAAACAGAAAAAGAAAGTGTTTCATTTATAAATAATACAAAAGAGAGTTTATGCCATCGGTACCCGTAATCGCGCGATTCTAACCTCGCTTCGCTCGGTTAAATCGCGGATTCCGGGCGCGATGACATAAAATTTTGTATGAAACGCGTGCGTAATATATTATTCATCTACAAGCGCGCCAAATCTGTCATGTTCCCATGATATTCATCAGATAATGTTGAAAATTGCCACTTACTTGAGACAAGGCGGTTCCAATCCAAATTGAATAGAATATGGGGTTGGTGAATATTCCCTGGAAGACATTTCTCTGACCATGAATTTTTCTGGCATTGAATTCGTTGAACAGGGTCATCATGACAAATGTGTTGAATATCATGGTAAAGTGTTGTGTTGGCATACTAGCATGGGAATCAGTAGCCCGACCATTGTCGATGTCAAAAATCCTGTGCCCTATGGCATAAATATCGAAGAATTATTATTACAAACAATTACTAGTCGAGCCATAAAGAAGAAATTAATTTTACTTTTTTTTTTTTTATAAAAATCTAATTACAATAACGACTCACCAGCGAAGAGGAGCGTAAAAATAACAACCAATTGATAAATCCCCTGACCCAGGATATTTTTCATCATAGTTCTGGATATGAGTGGTTTCGTACGTCCATACGGCTTACGTAGTAGTAGATCGGGGGTTGGTAATTCCGTAGCCAGTGCAAGTGAGGCTAATGTATCCATAATTAAATTGACCCACAACATTTGTACCGCTTTGAGTGGTGAGTCTTGTACAGCGCATGCACCAATGAATGCCACAATAACAGCAACAATATTTACAGTCAATTGAAACTGTAAAAATTTGGCTATGCTATCGTAGACATTTCTCCCCCACATAACAGCCTTTACAATTGATGAGAAGTTATCATCAGTAAGAATAATATCGGAAGCTTCTTTAGCAACGTCAGTGCCAGCAATACCCATGGCAAAACCAACATCAGCCTTTTTCAACGCTGGACCATCGTTTGTACCATCGCCAGTGACAGCAACAACCTCACGGCTCACTGTTGCTTTACTGTCAATAATACCCTTGACGAGTGTGTATTTGTCAGTTGGTGATGATCTCGCGAGTACCCTCAATTTTGGCCAAACTTTATCCAACAAATGTTGCTGGACCTCACCGTTGGCATCTCTAATTCTCCTATTGAATTCTTTGCCCTCCAGAATGAGAAAATCATCGGTTGGTTTGAGGATACCACACTTGAAGGCTATTGATCTTGCTGTATTGATGTTATCACCAGTGACCATCCTCACAGTTATACCTGCCTTCTGGCATTTTTTTATTGCCTCTGGTACTTCGGGTCTCACTGGATCCTCGATACCCACGATACCGAGACAAGTTAAATTGCATACAATGTTCTCCTCGTCCTCCCAGTTTGGTTCACCCTCGCAATGCACTTGATTGATTTCTGCTTTACCAGGAACAAAATCACGATATGCTATGGAAATAGTACGAAGTCCATCGCATGCCATGGGTTCTATAACATTTTTCACCAGCCGATCTTGCATATCTCTTGTAAACTTCTCCAGATGTCCATCGCGACCATAAATAAAGGCACATCTGAAAACGGCCGAAACAAATATCATATTATTGGTGAATGTGAAATTTGAACAATCTCGTTGATACAGGGGTGATATTGAAATAAAAAAAGTTAAAAAAAAAAACAACGTACTTCTTCATGATGATCTCGGAAGCACCCTTGGTGAAGAGTCTGTAACCACCGCCCGGTCTGGGTACAACAGTGGACATACTTTTTCTAACACTGTTAAACGTATAGACCCGCGTGAATGTCTCCTCGGGTTGGTCGTCTCGTATCGTTTGATAATTCTGGCCCAGGGCCAATACAAATCCAAGTAAGGCACATTCGGTTTTGTTACCGACCTGCATTGCAAGCTCAGTGGGATCCTGCGATGGCATTATTCTGGACGTGTACGCCGAATTTATGGAGATCGCATGGGTGAGTAAGTTGCCAACGTGATTGGGTATTTCATTGAACGATGGTATCGTTTTGCTCATTTTTTCACAAATGTAGGACTGGACGACTGTCATTCGATTGGTCGTTAGTGTACCAGTCTTGTCTGAGCAAATAGCCGTTGCATTACCCATTGTCTCACAGGCGTCAAGATGACGCACCAAATTGTTGTCCTTCATCATTTTCTGTAGGAATTTAATCAGCAGAATTGACACAAATTAACATGGTGAATCTAATGATTGGAAGGAAGTTGGAAATGAAGATAATAACCTTGACCGAGTAGGCGAGAGACAGCGTAACAGCTAGGGGAAGACCTTCCGGTACAGCTACCACAAGTACGGTAACACCAATGATCAAGTGTCGAACGAGATTACCGGCGTACGTATTTTTCCATGGTTTTTTACCGATGGCGAACGTCTTCACGCAGAATTGTATGACTAGAATAATGACTGTGAGTACAGCTATCGTTGAGCCAGCGTATCCAATTTGAATAGCGAGTTTCGTTAATTTAGCCTGGAGTACACTCTTCTCTTTTTTACCAGCTTCAGCGGCTACTTCACCACCAGCACCACCACCACTACCACTTGGTGCATGATGATTTTCACCGGCATCGTGTGGACGTGTCCCACTACCTCCGTGGCTATTTCCCGTTATTTCACCAGCTTCCTCACCTTATTTTATCACATCGGAATAGAATTTTTTTTCATTAATCTCTTGACCTTATTCATGATTGATGTGTAATTCAATGTTTCCAGAAGTAAGATCAATACTCCTTGAGAATATATTTAGGTGGAAATCAAATCAACGGTCTTGGTGCAGGTGAATTTTAATTCTGGAAACCTTGACGACTTTTATATATAATCAAGCAACTTGGTTTTAGTATTGAGCTGTGAATAAGTTATTCCTTGTTGGACGCGTAAACCGTGAGATACTCTTTTTTTTTTGGTCAACTAGCTTCGGAAGGATTAAAAAATTAGGTAAAACTAAAAATAGCGTTAAAGTTAGTGTCTGAAAATGATAAACTATGAATATAAGTTGTCAATCTATTTTGCAAACAAGGAAGTCAACCATTAAATGCATTGGAAAGGTAATAACGATATTAGACAAGAAAAAGTAAATCTTTCATGTTTGATTTTTTATGCAAAAATTCGATAATTCGTGAAACATTAAAATGGTGGAGTATATGGTGGGGTTTTAACAGATATATATGATTGAAACATTTAAATGTGTGATGTGTCTACACGGAGAAAAAAATGATGGAAGAAGTACACGACTAGTCACGGAATCGTGAGCTGACGAATAATTTCAGTCATTTTCAGAAATCATGGTAAGACATACGAGATGATCAGTATATATATAATATTATTATGAGTAAGATCATTGCTTGACTTGAAAAAAATCGTGAGTTAAAATCTCGTTTGAATAGAAACAAAACGGTACAGTAAATTTGACGGAACTGATTCGTAAGTTTTCGTATTCGTGTAGTACTTTTTCCGATTTCGCCGTTTGCCCCACGTTTACGTTTCAAAGAGCAATTTTTACGAAACTTCTCAAATACTTTTTCAAGTATTTTTTTCTTCGTGAAGGATGAGATGAATGAATATGTTATCATTGTTGAGATATTTGCATGAATGGTTCAGTGCATGTTTTAGTTAAGAAATTTTTACCCTTTTCAATGGACCGAGATGGAGAGTATTGATAACGTTGGAGCTAATTGAAAAGCTTTTTATTTAGCCAGGGCATTGTTAGGGAATTAAAATTTGAAGAATAATAAATATGTACAGGTGAATAATAAAAAGTTTGTAAAAGAAGAAAGGTGATGTAAGAAGAGACTCTTGTCAAATTTTCTTTCGAAATTCTGATTTTTTTCTTTTCTTTTCCATATAGTAAAAAAATAGGATGAAAATTTTAATCACCTGAGAGAGACTTCTTCTTCCGCTGCTTTTTAGCCTCTAGATAAAAAAACGCATGCAAAAACAAGAAAATTTATTAGCAACGTTCCTAAAACAATGTTGATAATCAACGTTTGGTTGTCTTCAAACATTTGTAGGTTTTTCGATAATTATTATTCTTGCTACACGCCATTATTTGACTCCACAGCTTTTGAAATAGCCTGAATTAATTGCTGAACAACTGCAGTGGATGGACAGCCTGAAGGTATCGTATATATTTTTTATTTCACTGAAGGGGTAGAAAATATTTATCGACTCGAAATACCTGATACTTCCAAACTGTACACTTCTTGGGTTATAAGGGTAGGGGAGGGGGGAGGGGCTATATCATTGATACAGAAATACCTGATTTGTATTTCTCTATTTGCAACACCGAATATTTGATTGAATTACGGGAATAATCAAGAGCTAATTATTGATTTCCGGTTAAAAATAATTCCCCCGGACGTTTTGACTGTGATTGTGAGAATTATCAGTGTGCTGGTATATATATATTTTTGCATGGATGATATCGACAAAGACCAGACAAAGAGACTAGTAAGTGATGAACAATATCATCGGTTATCAGTGAAAAATAACGAAACATCTAATGCTAGAGCTGCTAACGACTCTAAAACTGTGAAATAATTTTCAGGATAGTCTTAAAGTAGACTCCAGTGGATTTTAAAAATAAACAGCAGTCACAGAAAATCACTATCGAGTGATGCAAGTGCATGCTACAGTAATTGGAATATTTGAAATGGAGAGAGGGGCGAGGGATAATTTGTGAGTTACATCAAAAAGTCACATAAAATGTTGAAAAATCCATGCTTCCGTCAAGGTAAGGGAGTCCACACTCGGTTGATGTATATATTCTGTAAAATAGCATTCCAACGGACTGCAATACCCACCACTTCTCATACCCGAAAACTAAAATTACATTGTTCTTTGACTACAGCAAAGAGAGAAAGTTATTCATCCAAAAGTTTGAACTGCAGACGAATAGAGAACCAAGTGGTATTTGTGCATTCGTGAGAAGTAGCGGGCAAATATTGCCAAACCTGATTAACATTGATGATGTTTCAGGGAGAAATCGCATACCTTTTTTCATTTTCTTGATTTCCGCTTCTTGTTGATCGACAGCAGCTCCTAACAATGTGAAGATGATACCTGCTTGGGAATTCACACCTACAGCAGTCACTAACATCTTGCCGGAGCCTTCCATCACATGTGTACCTGAATAAAAATCAATTATAGCCAGCTGAAAATCTTTGGAATTTTATCTTCGAATGAAATTGGAAAAATTGAGAAAACCATCGATTTGAATTTAGGGAGAATATGTAACTATTTATTCAAAAAAATATGACATGAACATACCAGACAGCACCATAGGATCAAAAGCCTCCCCTTTTTTCACGTGATCAGATTCGCCAGTTAAACTAGACTCATCGACCTTGAGATCGTTGCTCTGTATCAGGACTCCATCAGCAGGCAACAAATCACCGTATTTTATCTACACAGAGATATTCCATTATCGTGAAATATTGAATTATCAGAGCTGTCTGTGAAAATAAATTGATGAACATTCACCGCATACCTGACAAATATCACCCACAACAATGTCAGACACAGAAATCTGCTTAACTTCTCCTTGCCGTATGACAGCAAACTTATGTTCACCCTCTATCCTATTTTGGAGACCCCGAAATTGTCTTTCTTTCGAGTAATCGTTAAAAGCTGTTACTAATACAACGACTATAACAGAAATGAGGATGGCAAGACCCTCGATCCAACCATATTTTGCTTCGTCCTCATGGATTTTCACGTCGGCAACTACAAAAATATTTATAATTGCAAATCCGAATTTTTTGACAAATATCGTGATCCAACATAAGAAATAATTGATTCCAATGAAATATTACAATTATTTCCACAAATGTTTCACATACCGTCAGATGGATCGTCTACGGGATGATAGAAACTAAGTCCTAACGAAACCAATGCGGCTATTTCAAGAATAATCAAAGTAACGTCTTGTAGAGCTTCCCATACTAATTGTAAAAATGTTTTTGGTGGTTTTGGAGGTATCATGTTGGAGCCAAAGGTGTCTCGCCTGTGCTGCATATCTGCTGCTGAGCCACTGAGGCCTTCAACGTAAAAAAAAGTACCATAAGCAATGAAAATCTTAAAAAATCATTAAGCAGAATCATTAAGCTCACCATCGCTGGGAGAGGTATACAATTTCTTGCATATTTCCTGTACACCACCATATCCACTGATTTTCGCTACTCCCTCTCGCCCTCGATGTTCCATAAGCTCTCTCAGCTGTTTGAGAGTGATACCATATTGGGCCGGCCGGCCGTCTATCGTCGCCATCCTCACTCGTCCTTTGCCGTTGGCCTACGCCAACTCAAACGTAACTGGCTCTAAAGTTACCCCTCCAGGCTACTCTCCTCGTACTCCCTTGAGCTCCGAGAGATCGGAGGTCCACCAGCTGAAACAATACATTAATTTCTCTTTGTACTCTCCCTCTTCTCTTAAATATTACTCCAAAATTACTCGTGATAATACCACGCAATATTGGATAATGTTGAGTTAACTTCAAGTATTCGGCGCAAGGGATTCTTAAATTTTCAGAAATCATCATAAATTATGGACCCTTCCCACTCTGTTGAGAAAGTACGAGCTTCAACTCATCCATTAAATTTTCATGTTACATTGATAATTCAAAGGTAATGATAATAATAAAAAATAATTCAATCTCCAAGTATCGCCATAAAAATTACTATCACAGTAAATCCCCCATGCATGGATTATTAAAAATCTCCTTCCGCCTGCCCTCAATTTTCCATGAAATATTCTCTTTGAGGGGAATTATAGTGGAGAATCCTGAGATTTCTCAAGCCTGCAGTCCAATTTTCCACTCCTTTTACATAAAACTCGTATACTACTGTTTATTTATCCCTAACACATTAATGAACCTGCAAAACAGGTATAAGAGTGCTCATACCTCATGAAAGTCCTCCAGTGGTTAATAAATAAGAACGATAATATTTAGTACTCGTGGAGCAAATAAAGACGAATTTTATTAATTAACTCAATGGAGTAGAACGCTTATGTAGTGCCGCCATTGAATTCACCTGGCCCCTAACAGCTGGCATGACCGTTATTCACCACATATGTTCAACCATCAGAGGTTATGTTCGGTATGAACTAGAGCCTAATCGCCAAGGTAATAAATAACTGCGAATCGGATTAGGAGTAATTGGCAAAAAAAATCTCCCCTCGATTGAACTCATTCCACTGTAGCGAATTGAGCCAAATCAAAAGAGTTCTGAAAGAGGACATATGATAGCAGGTTCAATGTACGATGAATGATATTGCGGGAATCGTTTCCGTTTGTGTCAATAGAAATGTATTATCTTCATGATACCTTGTAATGATTGAAAGAATTAAAACAACTGTCGATGCTACCAAAATCCACAAATTTCGTTTTGCCGACACTGAAACTGCTCAATTGAACTTTTTCATTGCTGTGGTATTTTTTTTTTGTATTTTTTCCGCCAGATTGGTCGAAAAAAATTCAATGAAAACGAGGGGGACGAGAGTTCGTAACCCCTTCAGGCACGCACAACAATAGTCGAACGGTTGTACGAGTGTAGTTGTTTGATCATATGACAAGCTGTAACAGTGGTGGAGAATAGAAACTAATTGACAATACACACCACTTTAATATCGTGACACCAAATGGTATATTGTTTGGGAGACTCTAAGAAAGAAAAAGGGAAATGAAAAAAAAAAGAAGTATCAGGGCCACGGACAATACTTTCAGCACGCATGAGCTATCTCCATTGCCCTCTGGTTGAGCGGGCATGAACTAAAAAAAAGCGTTCTCTGGGTCAAGAGGAACCAAGTTTAAACTATCACTGGGAATCCACACAATTACTTGTTAAGATAAATTTTTTTCAACTGCCCTTCAGTCCTCATTCACCACAATTGTCTTTACATTTAATTACCCCTCAATGTGAAACACCACGTGACTCACATTTGACGTCAGAATGACAAGTTTTGTTGGTAAAGCGCATCGGTTAATCTGACTCACAATGACGCATACCTGTATTTTCCACGCTTTCTTTTATTGATCAAAGGACAATCAGTTTTAGTTATATGAATAGTGAATGCAGATTATAGTTCAGCGAAGTGATGAGTGAGAACTAGACAGAACGTGTCAATGTATTTCCATCCCAACTTTTATTTTTTTTAAATGCCTTCTAACTGTCGTACATGTTCATTTCCGTCATGATTTTTTATTCATATTGCTATTTGTGGAAGTTCATTCAAAAAGTGAAGACAGTCAGGATAATACAATTTTTTAATTCTCAACTTTGTCAAGCATATGTATTATTGAGTGATTCATGAAAACTCTGAAAAACTCGACAGTATAGAAAATCATTGGCTGTGTGGGTGGTATGAGACGACATGTGACCCTGGTCTCTGATTCTGGTGTGATATTGTAAATGACTATTACTTGGTTTTACCTTCTTTCAGATGAATAATAAAAAAAGAATACAGGACAGCTCACGAAATTTTCGAGGGGGATTAACTGCTAATTTCTCCTTACCACGAAACCCTGAAGAATTGCACGCGACGAAATTCCAAATGTCGAATATCTCACGAGAATCTCCCGTCACAATGCCTACACGCACTCACTAATTCCACGACTATAAATATTTTTTCCATAATAACCAGAAGATGGACATTTAGATGTCGACCTGAAGCCGATCACCTGGTGGGCACAGAACACCACCACTAAAAAATGACTAGAGAATGATGAATGAAAGCTGGAAGAGAATGAGGTAAATAGCGACGAGTCTCGTCGGATGACTAAACGAAAGAGCGAGGAGTGACGTGAATTAAAGCCACGGTGGGAGAATTCTGTCTCGCCAAACGTGTCTGAAATCATCGGCAGAGACTCAACTCAATGTATATCTACGTTTATTCCCATCCACTCGACCGACATCCCAAGTCCATGTTCAACGTATATCCCAGTACAACCATTTCCTTCTCCCCCATTTCCCTTCAAAACTATACATTACTCTATCTCTCTGAAACGACATACATCTCGGGGCGACACATCTCCCACGCCTCAATCTGCTCAAACTTCGTTTTCTCTTCTCCTTGGCGGTTCAACCGCTCGTTTACAAGATTTCACGATAAACTTCATGATGATAAAAATCAGATGAATCCAGGAATCACGTAACAACTGGAATTGTCACTCTTGAGAAATCCTATTCAGTCGATCTTGTCAATTGAGTATCGATAGGCGAGTGAACAGTTCTCCTGGGGAAGAGCTGAGACGTGATTGTGACAATTGCCTTTATTGCTGTTTTACAGCACTCATTTATTCATCGAATTTCCAAACTTTTAGCTTGTCCGGGAATTTTCAAATATTTTGATTTTTCGTTTTCTAAATTTAATATTGTCATATATTTCGAAGAGAAAAGGGCATTCTTCAACTTGAATCACCAACTGGAGTCATATCAAGTGAAAATACACGAGCTACTGATAACACTGATGGAAAGACTTCTACACGGACTTGTGTTAATGCTCTTGACGTCATTTTGGGTATTAATCTGTGTAGGTATTTGGCCTTATAAGTGCAAATAACGATACATTATCGCCGATCCTAATTTTGAAGAAATCGATAAGAGATAAGTCTGTGACACGATGGAGATTAGACCGAGCAACAATTACAACTGCCTCATAATTTTTTCATTCCCTCCATCAGCGTGAATCATTGATTTTTCCATATATGTCATGGGTATACTAGTAAGCCTCTTTGAATTTGAATGGCCTTATCAGATTTAAATATAGAGCCCGTCTTCCGTTGGGAAAAATATTCCGAGTCAATTTTAAATAGCGCAAATCTCTGGAAATCTTCTTAGACGAATCGGCAAACTCATTCATAACAATTGTGCAGTATTCCTCATTTTCAAGCATTTGCAATAATTGAATTACTCCATGAAAAACCGAGACCGCACTGATTGTGAGAAAAAATGCTGAGAGAAGTTTAACGCCCGCGGCAAAAATGTCTCATTTATTCGACATGCGAGAAAATGAAATAATTTGTCGATGAGTAAAAGTGAAAGAGGAGTGCATGAACATATATTATTCAATGAAGTATTCACAGTATTCAGTGAAGGGAAGATTTTTCAGAGGCTGTCGTTGAATCATTATAAAGTGTGCAGTACCTATGACTAGAGGCGATGAGTTGAGAGTACATAGGTTTCCGGCAGTCAAATAGACTAAGTACGCAAAACACCAGAGAACAATTCTATTGGTAGTCTAAACGTGGGCAGACGACGTACGCAACTATTGTACATAAGAATGATGGATAAACCGTTCTAACCAACTAGATTATGTGGTACACGTTTTCATTCCAATTGATGTTTCATGAGTTACAGAGTAAATTGAAATTATGCGCACCACAGATTGCATTGATGAACAATTATCCTTGATCCAGCAAATGAAAAATATGGAAATATCTCTTCATTGATTTTTAATCAATTTTTTACACGGCAATAAAAGTGATTAATAATTGAATTAGAGTGACGAGATTATTTATTGGCTTCATTGTAATTTTGGATTTAATTGTTTGGTTGTATTTTGGGAATTGCAGCATTCTCTGAACAATTCTAATTGCAATTTTTTTTTAGGAGAGGTCACTGCGTACGTCACTCTTCACGTTGCAACGCCCATTCCGGAGAATTTTTATTAATCCTTGAGAAAAGTTTGATTTCCTTTTTCTTTCGTACTTTATAACTCGAATGTACAGAGTGCAGTCATCCGAAAAAATATTCAGACAATGGAGCACTGAAGGGTCCCCGTGAAACAACGGATGATTGATGACGAAAAGGAGTAGGAGATGTTCATGATAATCGTCAATGCAGTTATTCGTATATAATTAATATAATAATTAATATAATAACTCCATAAATGTATATAATCTGAAGGGAAATGCTGACTTATCAGTCAGCTTTGACGTCAATTCCCAGTAGCATATGCGTAATTTAAAAATACTTAACGTCTAATAGTCCCAGATAGGAAGATATAAAATTCATTATAAACACCCAAAGAAGAAAAAAAAAATGGAATGGAAACTGGTGCTTTGGAAGATTCTTAAATATTTGATTGATTGATTCTTGATTCTTCAACAAATTACTCGCGATGCGCTTGCCGCTGTGAAAATGTTGACATTTTTTCAGCATCACTAGCCGTACGAATTTGGATATCCCGAGTCATGTTTCACGGGTATGAAATTGACGTTGGAAAATGTAGGAATGGTTGGAGCCGGTAAAAAGCCTGAACAGGCCAGTGTTACGGAGAGCTCAGACTCCGAGTGTTATATAGCTTTTGAAGCTCTCTCTCTCTCATTCCCTTGACGTAGTTTGAAAAAGCTCCTCTCGCTTGCGACTGTCTCGAGGTCTGATGGCT